TTTGTCGAATCCAAAATTAGAATTAAAGTTTTAAGGACTAAAATGACTTGTTTTAAAACCTTTTATGTTAAGGGTATTTTAGGTAGTTATAAGTTTGAATAGTAAAAAGGGGTATTTTGGAAAGGGTATGGTTGAATTTGGGGTATTTTTAATAATTTCCCCGAGTTTACGCATTATTTTGAGTTAATTGTCCCGTGGTCATTGAATTTATATTTATGTCTTGATTGTTCATTAAAGTTTAAGATGTTGAGTTTTGATCACTAAATTTATTCAAGTATTGAACATTACTCACGATGTAACATCCATTTTAAACTTTTTATTGAATTAGTGATCTGACTAACGGAATGCACATGTAGCTTCCCGCATACTGTTAACAAACTATCATATATGAAAGATTCTTTCATTGCTCGCTAAACTTTGAAAACATCATTGATTGCTCATTAAACTTTGAGATTGTCAAATTTTTGTTACTAAACTCATAAAAATGACGTCGTCCTATTATTTGTTAAATTTATTATGTGTTTCGTTGCAAAATTCAAAATTTAATTTAATTTAATTTAAACAACGAAACACACAATTTAATTTAATTTATTACTTTTATGCGACCCGTGCATTTGCGATACATATTTTTAATGAATAACAGATTGATGTCATTTTTATAAGTTTAGTAGTTAAAATTCGACGATCTCAAAGTTCAATGAACAATCAAAAACGTTTTTCAAAGTTTAGTAAGCAATCGAATGCGCTTCTAAAATTTAGTGAGCAACGAAAGACGCTTCAATTTTTTAGTGGCCAAAATTTGATCGCCTCTAAGTTTAGTGAGCAATCGATTTTTTTTTTTTAAAATTTAGTAAGTACTGAAAGACACTTTCTTTTGTTAACGGCGTGATAGAACGTCGCATGCGCATTCCAATAGCCACGCCACTAATTTCGTTAAAGGTTTGAAATTGATGTTATGCCATGAGCAACATCTAGCATTTGAATAAAATTAGTGGCCAAAACTCGATATCCTAAATTTCAGTAAGCAATCGATTTGTTTGCTATTCGATTAAAGTTGTAATTAATTTTAACTCGATCAAATATGTAGTTCTCATGGGTTCGACACTCTATTCATCATTATATTACTTGACCACGATCGATCCTGTAAGTTTACGGGTTTTCAAAGGATCGAGTTTTTGGCGTCATTGTCGAGGACTATTGTATTTAATTAATTTTAACTTTAATTTGAATTTTTATTTTTTATTTATTTATTTTTATTTATTAGAAAAATATCACAGTGTTTTCTATTTCTTTTCATTTTCATGACATTGTATGCAAAATTTGAGACACGGTGATCTTACTTAATTTGATTCAAAAATTGAACGATTATTCAGGTCGAGAGGAAGAGAATAATTACAAGCACACCAAAAAAGCAAGCAGAGCTCATGACAGAACAAAATCAAAATAAAATTTCCATCAGGGCGAATGAAGAACCATCACATCCAATTGCGACGACGGGGAATGAGGATGCTAGGTTGATAGGAGAGTATATAGTTCTACCGATCGTGGAAAGCCAATCCAGTATCGTGTATCTAGCATTTGGTTGGCAATGGATGTGATCAATATGTTCCAGAATGCACAAAAATTCTTTGGGAGGGCTACTGAAAATCCCAATACATCTCAAGATTTCTAAACATGTGTGCAACAATAGAATATTCAGGGGTTTCAAGTGAAGCAATCCAGCTGAGACTTTTTCCTTATACATTGAGAGATTCAGCTAGAGAATGGTTGGATACTTTTCTCACACAATATCACCAGTTGGAATAGTTTGAGCCAGAAATTTGTGAACAACTATTTTCCATAAAAAGGATTGTCAGGTTGAGGGATGAAATCACTACATTCTCTCAGCTCAACTAGGAGTGATACTATGAGGCTTGGGAAAGGTACAAGGGATTGCTCCGTCAATGTCCACAGCATGGGCTGCAAAAATGGCTCCAAGTTCAATATTTCTACATTAGGCTAAATCCGACAAGTAGGGCTAATGTTGACTCTGCATGATATGGATATATTACAAAGAGGACAGTGAATTAAGTCTATCAGATCATGAAGGATTTGACATTCACTCGTGCACTGTGGCAAACAGGTGTACAGAAAGTAGCTGTGATACATGAGGTGGATACATTGACAGCAATCTCAATGCAAATGGCAGCTTTAGCTTAGGAAGTGGAACATATGAGTCTAATTCAAACAGCCAGATCGAGATGCAAGCATTATGGAGGGAACCATGAGAGCGTAGATTGCAGTGTGGGTAGTCTGTTTGTCCAATTAGTGAAAGATGTTAACTACACACAAAATTTTCAGAGGCAGCAAAATAATCCATATTCCAACACATATAATCCCGGTTGGAGAAATCATCCCAACTTCTCATGGAGCAATAATCAAGGAGCTCAGACCGTACTAAAGAAGACTGCGCCGCTAGGTTTTCAGCATACTGAAGATAAATCTTCATTAGAATAACTTATTACTAAATTGGCAGAAATCTCTATACTACACATACAAAGAACAGATATGACTTTGCAAGTTCATGGAGCTACCATCAAGAATTTGAAAAATCAAATGGGACAAATAGTTAAGGTACTCTTAGAAAGATATCCAGGAACACTACCAAGTGACACCGAGACAAATCTCAAACAGCAGGTAATGACAGTAAAAGTTGTAGAGAATGAGGAGATCGAACCAATCACTACACTCAGCGGGGTTCATTACTGAGATAAACATGTGACATTACTGAGAGGGCAATATCTAGTTTTGTCAATAAAATTCTGTACGAGAAAACCGTGTGGGCCTACGATAATAAAACTTGTGTAATTAGCATGGAAAAAGGAAGAAACAAGTAGAGAGCTAAATGAAGAGGGACCTTGTCTGAAAAGGAAAAATTTGCACTAGGTTGTTGTATAGGAGCTCTGCACTTTATCTCAAAGACATTAATGGACAACGAGCATTATACTAAATTCTTGATGAAGCCTTCGAAATAGGAAAGCTTGAAAAGACTTTTATACAAACGCATGCTACAATAGTCTGAATAGAGGGTTAAAAATCCTGTACGGGTGAGCTAACCCTCACTCTACCTTGTATCCTAATTGAATTGGCGCAAAACGTCCCAAATGTTGGCTATACTTTGTTACATGCTCGCATTATCTCGTGTTTCATTTCAGCAAAATATGCAACAAGATGCATTCAAAATAGAGTAAGTGAAGAAAGGTTCACTATACCTATAGATCACAAGGAGTTAATTTTTAACCCTCACTTAACCTAGGTTTTACTTTCTATTGCCACACTAAGATCACAAGGATTCAATGTAAAATCCAAAGAAATGTGTGATAAATTGATCTTATGGCATAGTCTTTTCATCTTTTTTCGCTACGTCTGGAGGTAAAATTAACCTTCTAGCTTTTGTCGAACAAAATGAAAGGAACACGTTTAAAAATGTACCTTCTTGAGCTCTTGAATAGCTAATGATAAATCAAGACATGACCATTGATTGCTTAAGAACGAGTCATTGTCCAATTTCTCAAAGAAACCTCACGACCTTCCCCATCTTTACATTTTAGAAAGACTGCCAGTTGTTTCTCTCCAGGTGAGTAGAGGACACCATCTCTTCGATGCTGTCAAATAGTAAGTTACATTTTTGAAAATAACTCTTACTTTATTTTCAAGCTAAGTAATTTAGTTTAGGAAATATATATTATCTAAACATGTTCCGAAAATGATTTACAGAAAAAAAAAATGTAAATGTAACTCACTTTTATGCTTGGCCAAACATGTTAGGATTTTTTGGGTTTGAATTAAAAGTTCCCTTCCTTCCAAATTACAGCAAAAACTAATATATATGTCCAATGAAACACACACGCACAAACACAAATCTTTAACTCCTAAAGAAATTTAGATACGGCATAAATATTAGGTTGATAGTTCAATTAAAGAATGATGCAACGTATAAAATTTTTCAATTTCTAAAACTGGTGACGAGAAAACTTTTTGTGTTCTCAAGTGTTAGGAGTCCCATTTTTTTTTCAAAGAAGATATTTTGTAATAGTGATTTCTTGAAGAATATGTAGTTATGAAATAGAGAAATGTTTTGGGTTTGTAACAAATTATTATTTTGAAAGAATGTTTTGTTAAAAATTAGTTTTTATAGAATGGAATTAAAAAGGGGCTTAATTTTTTTTAGTCATATGGATGACCACCATAAAATGAGATAAAATATTTTTTAAAACAATAAATATTTTACTTGAGGAGTATGAGATAAAATATTTGCTTCTATAAAATGCATTTAAGTTTTAGAAAAAAAATATAAAAAATTATACAATAACTTAAATGCATACCAGGCATTTGCTATTCCTCATATACGAAGTGTCATGCTGATTAAAGATAGTACCCGTTTGGTGGAGATTAAAATGCATTTCAGTATTTTTGTTTCTTTATACTAGTAGTAAGCATGTGCATTTTATGTTTTATATATCGGATAAATGATATGTGTAATATTTTTGAAGTACTAATACTATTTTTGAAAGTAATTAAGATATTGGTATTTATTTTTTGCTTTTACCAAGACTTTCGTTGTTTGCATTGAAATTCTGCATGAAAGTTGCATTTGGTAAGTTGATGAAATCATCCTCTATGTAAGATTCTGCTCCATTACTAAATTGGATCAAGTATTGTAAAAATCGATTGTCACTTGGAGCACGCACGTTTCGATTTAGTTGCAGCTTTTTCATTTTCTCCCAAACATAAGATCTAATCAAATTTTGATTAATTGTTTGTTGTTCTGTTGCTCTTGGGACGACATGTAGTATTTGGCGAAAATCTCATCCAAATACAAAAACTTTCCTGCCATGGTTTTGGATTCTCCAGGATATCTTTTAAAGTTTTATCAACAATTTCTATTGTATTTTTGTTGGCCATTGGTACATCGATTAAATAAATATATGTTTTTCAAAACTTCACAACTCACAAAGCATTCCAAAAATAAAATTTTGTCCAAGCATTATCGTTGATGATATCATAACAAAAAAAATTAGTAGATGAATCCGTTTTATTAATGTCATGGGCTCATATGATTTTTCTCCTGATTTCTCTATTCATTTTATACATTTAGATGTGTTTGTATTAGTTTGTATTTAATAGCTCAATTATATTTAAAAATTTTGAGGCCAAATGTATTCCTTCAATACATTTGTTCTTTAGTATGCAAAACGTCCAAACGTTTGAATTTTTTGCATTTTCGTCCATATTTCCATGTTTCATTGCGGAAAACATTATTTTCCTCAAATTTTATCAATTTTCTTGATAAAATCTGTGAAATGACAAATATACCCTCTTAGCTAAATGAAACAAAGAGAAAAAAAAAACAATGAAGAACTAATTACAACTATAGGCTCAAAATTTTCAAAAATTACAAATGAGTCACAAACAAATAATTAAAAATCTAAACCAAAACAAAAATAATTTAATGAAACGTGGAAATATGGACGAAACTGCAAAAAATTGAAACATAGGGACGTTTTGCACACTAAAGATCAAACGTATGGACGTTTTGTGCTAATAAACCATTCTAATAATAATTGAATGATGAAATGTGAATTATACAAAATTAATGAGGGTATTATTGTCTTTCAAAGTTTCTCCCTAATTCTCACTTTTTAAATATTGTAGATTAATGATTTTACGTGCCATAATTGTTTTGATGGCATCATATTCAATTCTTTAATTTTGTTTTGAGTTAATAACCAACAAGTCAAGTCATGATCAAAATTAAACATGAGAAAATATTGGAGCATCCTATTAATTAAAGGTTTCGTTTTTAAATTCTGATTATAAACTAATTAAAATGAAAGATACAAATTCATAACTAGTAATGTGAAAAAAAAAACAGGTAGTAACGAGATATTTTCAAAAATTAAATAAATCATTTACTACAAAATAATTGCCCAAAATAGAAATTTTGCCTTCATGCATGTACGTTTCGAGAAAAATACGAGAAATATGTTGGCTTCTACGCCACGGCGATGATACTATCGACAAAGCCGCTGCCACCACTGCTACTGCCGGTGTCACCACCGTTATTTCCCTTGTCGCTACTGCCACTGCCTTCAAGGTTACTACCACCTCCGCTGCTGCTTTCATCATCACCCTGGATGCCTTTTTTCCCCGCTTTCTTGATATTGAAAGCCAAACGGAATGTAGAATTTTGGCGAAAGCCCCAGAGTTGAATCCAATCGTATTTCTCCAATTTGTTTTCTCTAACCAGTTTACTCCATTCCTTTTTCAGAACAAATATTGGCACGCTGGGCCACCTCTTCAATTCTAATACGTGGTGATCACCTTTGGGATCAATGGTGGGAGCCTCAACACCATCTCTTTCAACTTCATTTCTTTCCGCTTCAGTCAAGAACTCCATCAGTTTTCGTATCGGCTTTTCTTTACGAGAAAGAAAGAGCCGATTCTCTCCCGATTCAACATCAGATGGCGTAAGCATTTTCTTGAACAAGAAAATCGGCTGTGTCCCTCCATTACATTGTATTTGTTGCAAGATTCTTGGAGGAAGCAGTTCGGGAAAAGGCTCCGGCTCATTTCGTACAATTATTCCCTTGGCCCTCAGCTTTCTCTTTTTCTGAACAATAGTTCCTGTAGATTGGGACATTGTTGGGCTTGAATAAGGAGCAATAGCTGGATCGGATTCTCTGATCACGAGTCTTTTATTTGGCAAGAAAATATGTTGAGGGTTAATATCTTGAAACAGTCTTTTCAAATTAGGGTTTGAGTAAGGGTTTATGTGGGTTTGAGGAGGAGGAGAGAGTAGTGAATTAGGATGAATATTCTCATCAGGTGATATGCAAACACCAAACAGGCGTACTTTTTTGTGGGTTTGAGGTTGAAGAGGCGGCGGCGGCGTTAATGGTGGTTGTTCTTCATCAATAAGAAGATCATCGAACAGGCTAAGGGAAATCATCTTCTTCTCCATCAGAACCACTTTAGGAACAGGCGTCATCATCAAACAGTTTAAACGAAACCATCTTCTTCATCGTAGACACTGGAATCCCCTCTCTCCTCTTCTTTGCAGTAAATTTTTTTTGGTTATATAAAAGAGAATGGAGTATATACATTATTATATAGATGTATAATCCAATTTCAAATAGAACAGGAAAAGCATATTTTGATCTCAGTTTCATCAGGAAAAGGAATTTTTTCATGTCACCATATTTTAAAAATTACATATATTTGAAGTTATTTTTATATTTCTAATGGAAGAGACAGTGTTACATTTAAAAGACCATTTATTTGTGTGATTAAATTTTTTTTCTTTTTCTTTTTTTTTGAATATTCAAGTGGATTTTGATCGAATTTCAGAGACGGAATTCATTGACAGAAAATTCTTTGAGTGAATTTCTATCTAATATACTGTAAAATTGTTAATTGCAGGTAAAACTCAGACTTGGATTATTTAGGAGTAAAATAAGGACGATTTTGAGCCTAATTGAAGTTGATTTGTAGCAATTGAAGGCTAATCAAATTACACACGATTGACAAGGAGTATTAAGAGAGAGAAAAAACAGTTTTGGAAGGTAAACTCAACATTTGAAATTTTTTGAGACTAATTTGCTAAGTTTCAGAACTTGAGAAGGACCAATTTCAGATAATTATGGAGGTTTGGGGGCCAATATAAAAGTTTTTAAAAGTTATGGAATCAAAACGGAATATTTTAATAGAAAGGACCAAAACTGAACAAAAAAATTAAAAAGGGATCAAAGTGCAACAACATGAAATGGGGGTGGGGGTCCAACAAAAAAATAGTAGGCGATTGAGATTAAGGGAGTGACTTATTAATTATTTTTCGTAGATTTATAGTATTTAGGATTATAATCAAAATCAGCTTTAATTATTCTCAATGTTGACCGTAAAAAATGTTGTCAACAGATGGCGGACCTACTTTTGCCACGTCAAGCAATAATCCGGCACGTTTCTACCGGAACAGGAGCGGTAGCGTAGTTGGAAAGGGCGCGGGAACTGCTTTCCGGCAAGAGACACAACTGTTCAAGCTCCGACAATTTTCTTTAAACAACCCTTGCATTATCAACAAGGGCCGGATCGATTTTCTTCAAATGAGTATCTGTTTTGTTATGAAATATGTGGAAGGATAGATTATATCAAATGGTGTTTTATGTTGGAATCTCGATATAATTTGCTATCGTGTTTGCAAAATATGTAAAGAACTATATATGTAAATCTTCTTCAATCTATGTCTTTTACAAGAATCAAAATGTTTTGTGTTTTATCGTTATCTTACAAAGATCCAACCGTCCCCTTATTCTATACAAAGGAAGACTATTTATACTGTCCAAACGACGTATTGATCGTTGGATCAGATCCACGCGGCAACATCTTCTAAATTGAACCTTCACATCACATTTAATATCTGATAGAAGTCAGCCGCACTAGAGTAGGCTGCCAATACCATGGAAGATTTACTGACGCTTTTATTACTGGCGTCCCATCAATCAGTTCAGAGAAATCTTCGAATTTGCTGAGGTGACGTTGGCTTATGGGTGTCAACGGACCTTGTAGTAGCCTCGCATCGAATCGTGCCTTGAGGGTGTGCATCAATCCAAGGTTAGTTAAATGAAGGTCTTTCACCCGAGGCTCCCTGGACTGAAGCCCATGCTATCTCTCAGGGGATCCTTCATATCAAGCGCGTGGCATGTAACTTCGGCCTAACGCCTCACTGGAATCTTTGACCTACTGGGCCCTATTTTGACTTATTGTTGACCGTCCTGCCTACGTGTCCTTGAGTCTTTAGATCTCTGAATCGAGGGGTAACACTCAATATAAGCCATGTTTGGACTTTATTTTTAAAAAAATGCATTTTATTTAAAATTCATTTTCACCCGCACATTGTTTGATAAAATAATGTTATTTTTTCTTATTTTTTAACCACACATTTTCAAAAAACTCACTATTCAAAAATACATTTTTCCTCAAAATTTTATTTTAATGGAGCCTGTTTAGCTAAATGAACTTTAGCCCTTGTTTGAGCTTCATTTTTCCATCAAAATGCACTATTGAACAGTGATTTGATTTCATTGCAATCACACATTCTTTAATAAAATAATATTACACGTAAACCCAAAAATTTTCTTTATTTTTTAACCTCACATTTTCCATCATAATAGAAATTAGGCATAGTTAAACCAAAGATTAAATATAAATTCTTGTGAAAACAATAATTCAAATTTTTAGGTTCACTTTATCGCTTATTAATCATAGCGCACATTTACGATAAAAATCACATAACACATGAACTGCATAACAATCAAGGAGCGTGTAAATTGAAAAATGATATTAAGCGTCACTCACTTGACTGTAGCAAAATGAATACTTGTTAGGATTTTGCTCCATTACCATGTCCATAATGGACAAATGGCACCCCTCCCCATTATGTACACCCATATGTCCATTGCTATGTACACATAGCAAAACCCACTTTGTTATCTCAAGCATAATATCAACCATGGTATTCATCTTCCCACCATTCAGCAGCTTACAGTCCAAACTTATTCTGATGCTGATTGGGTCGAAAATTGTTGGAGAAAAATTAGTTGAAGATACTTTTCAAGAACATCAATTAAGATGCCAAAAGTGAAAAACTTATCGATCGATACTTGTGATAGCACAATGCCCTAAAGTGAAATTGTCTGTAGTGAATTGTTGAGATCTTTTTGGACAATCACTCTTAGGATATAACGATTAAATCAATCTTGCAGCAATTATAAGCAATTTCTAGAATTCTTGATAGTACTCCGAACAATATCTCTCAAAATAATGGAATAATATTAAAAATGAGTTTTTTTTTAGAAATTATAGAACTTGAAAAATGATTTCAATGTATTTTTTCAAAAGACTAAACCTTTATCAACACATAAATAAAAGAGGCACTTTGCCACTACTGTTCACAAGCCGTGAGTCGAGCCGAGCCTAGCTGAACGGCTTTATGGCTCAGCTCGGCTAATTTATTATTATTTTTTTATGTTTGATTCAATATTTTAAGTTACAGATATTCGTTTTAAGCGATTTAAAATTTGTTGGAAACGTTGAAGTGCGGCCATGATAAATATATGATCGATAAATTCAATATATTCTTTTTAAGCTATTTAAAATTTGTTGGATACGTTGAAGTGCGGCCATGATAAATATATGATCGATAAATTTTAAATATCTAAATAATTTTACATTAATTGTCGCCGAGCCAAACGGCTTTATGGCTTGACTCGGCTAATTTTTTTTCCTTTGATTAATTTTGTTTACAGTGAGCCAAATGGCTTTATGGCTCAGCTTGGCTCGGCTAATTTTTTTTTTTTTTAACATTTCATTCAGTATTTTAAGTTACAGATATTCGTTTTAAGCGATTTAAAATTTGTTGGAAACGTTGAAGTGCAGCTTTGATAAATATATGATCGATAAAGTTTAAATATCAAAATAATTTTACATTAATTGTGAAACGTAAAGTCGTGATTGTTTATATTTCTTTTCAATCTCAACCTCATTCTAATGTCCTTTTTTCAAACTTTATTTTCCTACAATTTTTCGTTTGATTCGATATTTCACAATATGAATATCCATTTGGATCAATTTCAAAATTTTTAAAAAAACTTAAAATGTGATAATAATAAATATATTGTCAATTATTAAAATATAAAGATGACTTGATGGCTCGGCTCGGCTAAACCTTTTTTTTTTATGTTCGATTAGTTTTTTTCAATTTCTTTGGGTTTATTAGTTATTTATTTTGAGTTTTTTTCCTTTTTTTTTTGTTTAAAAATTGATTAGGGGTTTATGAAGTAATTGACAATGACTGTTCTACAGGAGATTCGTAAGAAGATATTTTTCGATAATTGGAGGCTGTGGTGGAAGGTGAGCCTCGATTTCTTTGATAACTGTGGGTGTGCTTTTTTTCATCTCTACATTTAATGTTGCCTCGAAATATTTAGCAATTTATAAGAAAATTTTATGTAACTAATGTTTGACATAAATATTTTTTTTAATACCTACGCTATTACGTAGTCAACTATATAATGACACGTGCTTCTCACTAGTATCTACAGTCAATTTGTGGTATGGAAAAAGCAAATATTGAAAACCCTAAAACAGTTCTTGGGACATGGAAAATTGGATACAACATTCATTCCATTACATGCCTCCTTCTCATAGCCTTTGTGATTGCTGCTTTTTATCTAACAGCAGATAATCGACAGGTACTCGAAGAGCAAACACAACTGATGGTTCTATTCCGCGCTGTGATTTGTTTTTAGGCAAATAAGTTTATACCTACGCTATTACGTAGTCAACTATATAATGACACGTGCTTCTCACTAGTATCTACAGTCAATTTGTGGTATGGAAAAAGCAAATATTGAAAACCCTAAAACAGTTCTTGGGACATGGAAAACTGGATACAACATTCATTCCATTACATGCCTCCTTCTCATAGCCTTTGTGATTGCTGCTTTTTATCTAACAGTAGATAATCGACAGGTACTCGAAGAGCAAACACAACTGATGGTTCTATTCCGCGCTATGATTTGTTTTTAGGCAAATAAGTTTATGATAATATATCTTACACAAATACATTAAACATAAATATATAAATAGAGACGCTGAAACAGACCTCCGACGGTGAAATTAACAGTTAATAGAAGTGGCCAGAGGAACTTATAGCGGCGGGCAAATGATTCTTTAGGCAGCTGAGGTGACGGTGTCGACGTAGGAGGGGGAGTTATAGCAGCCTGAGACCCCGTTGACAACCCCGATATCGATGATGGTGCAGATGTCTGTTGTTGCTGATATTGCTTCCGCTATGTTGTTAATAGTTCTATAATGGAAGAAATAACTTGAAAATCAAAAGCTACAAGAAAAGGGAATTGATTCTTTTTCTTCAATAAAAGCTACTCAAACTAT